CCCTATTGCTCTCACAAGTTGTGTCTGCAAACTCTTTGAACGTATGGTTAACGTTCGTCTGATGTGGTTCCTGGAACACCATCACCTCCTCTCCCCTTCTCAATTTGGTTTCCGCAAGTGCCGCAGCACGACAGATGTCCTGGTGAACTTGGAGGTCTATATTCGTACTGCTTTTGCTGCGAAGACCTCCGTTGTTGCCGTCCTTTTTGACCTAGAAAAGGCTTACGACACCACTTGGCGTTATCATATCCTATCTCAACTTCATTCTTTTGGCCTTCGTGGTCATCTCCCTCTCTTTCTCCGCAGCTTCCTCTCTCGTCGTTCCTTTCGGGTGCGCCTTGGTACCGCTCTCTCTCCCTCTTTTCAGCAATACGAAGGTGTGCCCCAGGGTAGTGTTCTGAGCACTACTCTTTTTCTGGTTGCCCTCAATGGTCTTCTTTCCTCTCTTCCTTCTGGTGTCTTCTCCGCTCTCTATGTCGATGATCTTACCCTTTGTTGTCAGGGTGATGATTCGCCTTTCCTTCAACGCCGGCTTCAACTTGCCATTGATGCCGTGTCGTCTTGGGCCACAGGTCTTGGCTTCAAGTTCTCTACTTCTCAGACTTGTGCCATGACTTTTACGCGGAAACGGGTTGTTCTTCGTCCCTCTTTGTCACTTTATGGTCATCCCCTTGAGTACAAAGATTCCGCGAAGCTTTTGGGGTTATTCCTTGACACTCGTTTGTCTTGGTCTCCCCATATCTCTTGCCTCCGTGTTGAGTGCTCTAAGGCCCTTACCCTCCTTCGGGTCCCGTCCCATACTTCTTGGGGGGCAGATAGGCGCACTCTCCTTGCTTTACATTCCTCTCTCGTCCTGTCTAAGCTCGATTATGGTTGCCCTGCTTACTCGTCTGCTTCTCCTTCTACTCTTCGCCGTCTTGATGCTTTGCACCATACTGGGTTGCGTCTCAGTTCTGGTGCCTTTCGTTCGACTCCCATCCTTAGCTTGTATGTTGACACTGGCTTCCTGTCTCTCCAGGACCGCCGTGATCGCTACTGTCTTCGCTATCTTGCGCGGTCCTTGCAACATCCTTCCTCTCGCCTCTGTCGTGCTTTAACTTTTACCCCTCCTGCGGTTCCTGTTCCTCTTCACCACCTCCCTCTTTCTGTCCGGTTATCTCGCCTACAGGATTCTCTTTCCGTTCGTATTTCTGATGTTTCTCCTCGTGTTGTTCCTTCTTTGCCCCCGTGGAGGGTCCCTCTTCCGCGGTTTTGTACATCCTTGACCCGTATCACTAAAGCTTTTACCCCTCCTACGGTTCTAAAACGCCTTTTCCTCGAGCACTTTTCTTCTCACTCCCGCTCCGTTTCTGTCTTCACCGATGGGTCTAAGTCAGCGGACGGTGTTGGCTACTCTGTTGTTTTTCCTGATCGCACTTATATGTGTCGCTTGCCTCCGGAGACTAGCATCTTTACAGCGGAACTTTATGCTATTCTCTATCCTCTTCGTCTCCTACTTTCTCGTTGTCAGTCTTCCTTTGTGGTTGTTGTTGACTCTCGTAGTGCCCTCATGGCTCTCGGGTCCTTTAATCCGGTTCATCCAGTAGTTGTCGAGATCCAGCATTGGCTGTTTCTCGTTCACAGTAAATTTAAGTCGGTTGAGTTTTGTTGGGTTCCCAGCCATATTGGTGTGTCTTTAAATGAGCGTGCGGATGCTGCTGCCAAGGAAGCTGTCCGCTCTTGTCCCATCTCTCGCAAAGGCATTCCGTATTCCGACTTTTACCCGGTTATCCATTCCTCAGTCCTTACCCGTTGGCAGGCTTCTTGGTTGTCTGTTACTGGTAACAAGCTACGTACTCTTAAATGTTGTGTTTCCTCGTGGCCGTCCTCCTTCCACCGTAACCGGCGGTGGGAAACAGCTCTGGCGAGGTTGCGTATTGGCCATACTCGCTTAACCCATGGTCACTTGATGGAGCGCCGCCCTGCTCCTTATTGTCCTAGTTGCATTGTCCCTCTTACGGTCATGCATGTCCTTCTTGAATGTCCTGACTTCCAGGACGAGCGTGTGTCTTGCTTTCCGACCGCCCCTCGCGGTCACCTGTCCCTCGATAGCATTCTTGGTGACTCGGATACTTTTGATATCGTTCGCCTTATGCGTTTTTGTTCTCGTATTGGCATCCTTGGTGATATTTAGCGCCCTCTGATTATTTTGCGTACTTGATGGTGCTACATAGCCTTCCCGGTTTGGTGCCTTCTTTTGATAATTACTTACTTACTTACTGGAGCAGCGATTAAGCTGGGTAAAGAAATTCCAGTAAACTATTCTATACTAAAGGTAAACCTATTACTAAATAATTATTCCTGATAAGGGAAAGTAAATGGTTACACTTTTATTAAATCTACTGGTATGTGGAAATTTAGTCTCCTTGAGTGGCTGACGCAACACTACACAATTCTAGGAGAAATTACATGATGTTCCACAACCTAATACAGTAAATTCCACAATACTAAGCTACATATTAGTAGTGTTAGTTAATTATTACGCTTAATACAGGAAATACTGTTGTATTAAGGATTAGTAAATGAATATTAGATGTGTATGAAGCCTAATACAGGAAATACATCCTGTTGTATTAGGGATGAGAATAACTGTTGGAAATTTCCAACAGCAAGTACGAATGTTACCTTCAATAACCAAAGGTCTGGCGCTCTCATAGTTGAGGCACATTGACTGCCTAACCTGCCCTCTTGTGCATCTATCTTGAGGTGATTTCGGGGCCTAGTAGTCCCCGCGGCCCGGTCCTCGACCAGGCCTCCACCCCCAGGAAGCAGCCCGTGACAGCTGACTAACTCCCAGGTACCTATTTACTGCTAGGGGCACTCAGGGTGAAAGAAACTTTGCCCATTTGTTTCTGCCTCGTGCGGGAATCGAACCCGCGCCACAGAATTAAGAGTCCTGCGCGCTATCCACCAGGCTACGAGGCCCCCATTGCATTGACGAGGTCCTAGTACAAAGCTTAAATAAAAACAAAAAAAGTTGAATTTACAGCATAGGCGCTATCGTTCTTCCTTACACTGTTGCTCTTGGGAGCAGTAATCATCGTAATTGCCACAGAGATAAAAAAAAAAAAAAAAAGTCTGAGAACAGTCGCTGTTCTCATTGTCGATACATTCATGTAGGTTCTTCGTGATAGGTATTCTAATCCTTCTGTTAAGATTACTGTTGATAGTCGCGCCCTCCAACTAATTCTTCGTGGAAAATATCCCTACCTCCATCCATCCCCCTACGCGATTGTGCAATATTTGCTGGAAATTTGGGCACAGATTCAATTTACTATAGCACTGTTCTGCTCCTTACGTGGCGAGTTGGGCAATGTCAAGTTTTGTTTCGGAAAGCCCACAGGGCCATCCATACCGCTAGTCGTAAGAGCTGGAGATTGTCTACAGTATTAATGTTAACACTCGTCTCCGTATCTGAAAGATCTTTAAGAATATGGAAATTTGTTCCAGATGTGGTGCTTGTTCATTATCGACATGGTTCAGTTGTTGCCAACACGGTGTTAGTCGCAAATGAGCTAGCTTAGCAATTACTGTATGTCGTTAGCTCCAGTTCTCTTCCTTATCTGTAATTAAATCTCGACTGAATTCACACTACACTTCAGCTCGCCTACAACAATCTCTTCAACTTTTCAGAACTCTACTATCATCGTTTGTTTTGACAGAGTTGGTGCTGCCTTTTTTGTTTCAAGACTATGGTGTTCCGAAAGGTAATGTTCTAAGCATTACCTTTTTTCTGGTTGTCCCAAATGGCCTGCCTTTTCCCAGACATTTTCTCAGCGTTTTTGTTGATCTCTCTGCTGTCGTGGTAGATTCACCCCCTCCAGCTCGCGATCTGTAACACGTCGTGCTGTGCATCCAATCACTGCTTCAAGATCTCTACCACTAAGAATTGTGCTATGGCTATCTTCAGAAGCACGCTCCTCGTCCCCCTTTGGCACCGAGGTAATTTCCTTATGTATAGGGATAACACCAAACTCATGGGAGTTGATAAGAAAAGTAAGTAATTATCAAAAGAAGGCACCAAACTGGGAAGGCTATGTAGCACTATCAAATGTGCAGAATAATCAGAGGGCGCTAAATATCACCAAGGATGCCAATACGAGAACAAAAATGCACAAAGCGAACGATATCAAAAGTATTCGGTTCACCAAGAATTCTATTGAGGGACAAGCGACCGCGAGGGACGGTCGGAAAGCAAGACATGCTCGTCCTGGAAGTCAGGACATTCAACAATGATATGCATGACCGTAAGAGGGACAATGCAAATTGGACAATAAGGAGCAGGGCGGCGTTCCATTAAGTGACCACGAGTTATGCGTGTAGGCCAATTGGCAACCTAGCCAGAGGTTGCCGAAAAAGTAGCCAATTTCATCTTCAGTTTTCCTACCTAGTGCTTCAGGCTCGCACAATCTTGTGCTACCCACTCCATTTTTTTTAGTATTTAAGACGTGCAACTTCACCAGTTTAATAATTTTCATCAATTTTATGTAGTTATGTTAAACTCTCAAGTTTTTCTCTTGTAATGTATCTTTCATTTATTAATTCTGATTGAAATTACCTACTTAAAATTATCTGCTAGATTAAGGACCTGCCCGAAACGCTGCGCGTACTAGTGGCTTTACAAGAATGTAAATACTGTACCATCCAATGTATTCTCTCAAACCCAATGTACCTTCTTGTATATATATAAATAAATAAATAAATAAATAAATGTACACTTTTAGCAGTTTTCTTTTAGAATAAGGGCCGCCGAAACGTTATGCGTGTTGCTGGCTTGACAAGAATGTAACAAACCAATGTTATGTACTCTCACAAACATTGTACCATTTTCATGTACAATAAATAAATGTGAATATTACTTATTTGACAATACTGTACATTGAAAATCTCCCAAAAATGTTACAAACGTGTCAGCTCAACTCGGTGCATCATTAAGTGGCACATTACATTCAAACAATAACTAGATTAAACTCTTATATTTGCCAAACACGTATCTACATACAATATATATTAAGAAAGCAACACTGACCATGATTAAACCATGACCGCTGGGTCAGACCAGCAGCTGGCTCAGTAACCCTATAAACCACAGATTTCTCTTAAAAGTATAACCAAACCCAAATACATGTAAAATTACAATATAAATTAATGTTATAAACTTTCTCTGAGAGCATAGTTGCAAATTGTTATTTAACTTTCTGAAATTAAATCTGTAAAATACATTCTACTTTATCAGTTACTATTAATAAAGAAAGCTGTGATGACATACAAATGCTAGTTAATTATATAAAAACACATGGATAATGCCACTGCATATATAATGCATATTAGATGCATAGCCTTTATTAGTGGAATTCTCATATTATACCGATTATATAGTTACACATTAAAATTACATTTTTTGGCAGCCTTATATATCTAACATTTTTCAGAGCAACAAAGAGGAGCTGCCTCCTACTTTAAATCTCGCCTTTAAATTCACGTATTCTGAAAGTCCCGTGGGTGTTTATGGCAATGACTGCCGTAGTAGCTATTATAGTTAAATTTCAATCGTGGCAAAGTGATGCCTAGTGTATTCTCAAATACGCTGCAATTAAGCCTGAGGTTGCAAGTTACCCAAAATGGCCCTAGCTGTCCTCGAGGTCGTTGTGATGGTAGTCGTCGGAAGGGCTGGAGTGGGGCTGGTACCACCACCACCACCACCACCGCTGCTGCTGCTGGGAATGCCCACAGTAGCCACGATGATGATCACGATGATCACAACGACGACACAACCAAGTATAAGCATCATCTTCAAGTTCTTCCACCAGTACTTCCTCTTCAGCTTGCGTGAGGTCGTCTGGAACTCAGAGGCGCTAGCCTGGTACAAAATAATGTCATTATTAGAATTACAAGTGTTGGAAATTTGTTTTAATTAGAACGTGAAATGGTTACATGTATATCAGCGATTGTGTTTAATAGCCTTCAATAACTGTGGCAGTGCCATCCCTGCCTCCCTAATTTATTGTTATCAATGATTAGATAAATGCAGATGCTAATGAGATGGGAGGCTTTAACATAATTAGAACAATTTTTACACTAAGATGCCTAGTATTATTTCCATGATAAATATTAAATCACCAAAATTTAAATTTACTATACAATACTGATATGAGATTGTCACTAAACCTGAAAAGCTTTGTTTACCGCTTAAAATATATAACAGGTTTTGCCAACATTATTTACCTGGTTATAAAAAACTGATATTTATACAATGCTAAGCAGCATATATAAATTTTCTTCTGTCGTTTATAGACAAGGTTAGATAGTTAAAAGAACATGCAGTGTGGAGAGTTATTGAGCACTACCACAGGTGATTGAAGTGTTTATAATTCTAACATACATACGGAACTCCTTGGTAAATCGCCCATTAAATTAAACGAGCAATGAACCAAATTATTATAGATCCCTAATACAATTGCTCACGCCGACACTCCTCAGTCGGAATAGTTATGTAAATTGTGTGTTATGTAGGCATTTCTTACCATGACTGAATAACCGAGAGAGTGCAGGTAAGAAAGAAATTTGGGTCAGACTATGCTCATGCTCCTGGAAACACAAACACTGTTCACTCAAACTGTCTACCAGGTGTTTTCAAAAGAATGACTTCTTGAAACTTTTGTGCAACGATTTGCTCTGCTAGATAATCTTCAGTGTCACCCCCAAGGCAAGCCAAATAACTTTAATCAAACTGAATCCTACGAATGTTTAACTTCCCCTTTCTTTTCCGTGAAGTCAAAAGTTCGCTCGACTATTCCTAATGTTTGGGTTGCATTTTTCAGTAGCATCCACTTGTGCAACATATTCCCCCCCCCCTTCCCACCCCCCCAAGAGACGAGACCACCAGGACAAAGCACATGAGGGTGGGGGGGGCCCACTTCTTCCACGGGGGCCACGGGAGGCTTCAATAAGTAGTCTACCTATCAAAAACAAGAAACTTTAAATGTGAAGACATTGATAACCTTTGATGCTCAATAAGAAATGTGAAAATGCATAGAAAGTAATACAACTTCAACACCTACACCTGTTCAAATATGAACGACTTGGGCATGTTTAAAGATTTTTTTTTTTGCTATAAAAAAATACAAAAATACAACCATGCGTCTGAATACCGATTTAGACACCTACCAAGAATTTGCCCAGTCATTATCGAGAGAGGATATGTCATCAGGAGCTGCTCACTCATTGGATCACTCATCGCCTCGCCAGCGTATACCATCCCCGTGCCAACTGGTTAACAACGCCACCAGTATGACATTTATAAAAACCATGTTCTGTTCCAACGAACCCACAAACTAAATTACAGGTGGGTTTGGGTAGAGTTGCGGAAGGTTGCACTCGTCGACCTCTTCCAATGATGCTGCAGTAATATCGCTAGCTAGTGATCTAATAAATGTATTGAAGCCAAATGAACTGCCTGCCGAATGCTAGCCCTCAGAGGCAAAAGTATAACAAAAATTAGAAACTAACATTCGAGAAACCAGAATAAGCCAAGGAAGCAGAAGTAAAGGGGTTCATATACTTTACAATTATAGCTGTTCTGAACTAAATATTGGAGACGTAATATAAAATTAACTTTTTCAAAATGTTTTAAATTCGACCATTACACAAGTGCACAGAATAAGTCAACGAAAAAATATTAGCTGTGCTCAGGCAATCATTAATACAAGGATTGTGCTTGAAACATTAAATGTATCTTATATGGGGGGATAAATACATTGTAACATTTCCCAATCCTCCAAAATAACAAGCAGAAATAAAAAGTATGATGGACAATGCGAAATCAGTCTCTAGAAACTTCAACCGCTTCATTCGATATACTTTCAACAGCATTCCCAAACCAACCAGATCAAGCATATCAAAACTCCTACCCACTACATCATAATGCCGCAAATAGTTTGGCCGTCAAATCTCAAATAACCGAGTATTTGTAAGTGCGAAAGAATGATAACACGAAAATATATTCACACTAAACATACAGTGGCCTCTGTAATCAGTAACCACCCTGTCCATGGCACACGTCCTTATCATGCGACCCAGACTCCTCCCTCTACCTCCCAACACTGCCTCTCCACCCCCCCCCTCCCTGTACCTCCCTACCACCCAAGACTAATGAAAGAGATCCGAGTCTATAATAGTCCCTGTTATACACAACTGTACGATATATTGTTCAATGTTTCCACAAATTGTTCACCATTATGAACCTTAATTATTATAACTATCTTGGCGCAGCAATAATTAATAGTCTAAAATAGCTTCCCTCAGTTCGAAGTGCACTGCTCTATGATTCACATTTCCAACAACTACGCAGCCATATGGTTAAACAATGAGCGATCTTCACTAAACATTATTTAGACTAAGTTTAAGATTTCACTGTGGCTCGTTCACGTACTAGATCATTAAGGGCGCAATAAACCTTGTGCGTAACCTTTAAATATACTTTAATCCATAAACAGTACAAGAACAAAATGACCAGACATACCTTAAACAAAATATTTATACGCTTGAAAACACGCGTGTATTCCCCTATAGCTTCGACACGCTGCTGTTAAGGTCTATATAGGGTTGTGAAGTAGTCAGAACTCACAGTGAGGTTGCTGGCGCGCTTATCGAGCTCGGTAAGCTTCTCGTCCCTCTCCATGATGCGATCCACGTTAGTCTTCATGATGTCCACGACTTCATTGACTTGTTGCTGCGTCTCCTCTAGTCGGGTCTTAGCCACCACCTGCGTCAAACATTCATTACTTTAGTACAAAGTGGATGCAGGGCAGGGAAGCTCTCTTACAAGTACATATGGTGTTAAATTAAGCAAGTTAAAAAATCAGTTTGATAATAATGGTGTTAAATTAAGCAAGTTAAAAAATCAGTTTGATAATAAAGACTCCAGCTTGGGTTTATTTTTTTTTTTTTTTTTTGGGGGGGGGGGGTAAAGTGATTGACGTTAAAACGTCCTTTGCTAAAGAGGGAACACCGGAGCCACCAATTTAAATCAGTTTAAGGTGATAAAAACTTACTCCACAAATTGGAATACACAATTTTTTTTTACACATTTAAGTTGACGTTTACAGAAGTTAAATATATTATTAGTAAATAATAAGAATAAGTGTCCCATAAGGAGAATTTTTCATAAGTTGTGCTATAAACCCTCTCTTTTAATGGCTTACCTTGGGTGGGTCTTGAGGCGGCTGGTTCTCTGGGTGCATCATGGTGCCTGTTGAAGGTCGAGCAATAGTATTACAATGTGACGAGTGACATTTATGTTGAAACAAAATAAAAAAAGACTTTGATGTATGAGCTTTGATGTCTCAGGTCAAGAGAGCCTTTACTTTAAACATGCCTGTGGGACTTTAGCTCTATACCGCCTTAGAGATGGCTCTCGCCTGTGGGTAAACGGGCTCACCATAGCCCGTGCTTCTTGCCCCGCTCCTGTGCCAGGTAAGTTACGGGCTCACCATAGCCCGTGTTACTTGGTACTTGTTCCGAGTAGCTGAATCTATAACAACAACAAGTATCCAACAGTACAATTTCTACAGTGATTCAGTTAACTTCAGTACAGATGCTTCGGAATAATTCGGAATAAATAATTTGGGGCCTTACGGGTACTATGCTTACACTAATGGGTCTGTTCAAATGTCAACAGGGCGCACTGCAGCACCCTGTAGAATATACAAAGACAATACACAAAGAATATACAGACCACTAGCGAGACTGAAAAAACTAACTTAGCTCGACACAAGCAGAATTAGCTATACTACAACTTGTCATAACGTACTGAAAAACAGTAGGAGAAATTTTCCGAGATTCAAAGTCAGTTCTTCAATCACTTTGAAACCTAACATGCAAAACAGATACTAGGAATGTTGTAACATCAGGTATAAACTTCATTAATACACATAGCAAGAGCGTCTCATTTGTAAAGATACAATTTTTTTATTTTTGTTTATTTATTTATTTATTTATGTACAAGAAGGTACACTGGGTTTGAGAGTACACAGCATTGATGTTTTTACATTCTTGTAAAGTCATTAACACGCATAGCGTTTCGGGCAGGTCTTTAATTTAAGAGATAATTTTAAGTAGATAATTTCTAGCAAAACTGATAAAAAATGTTAACAAGTACATTGAAAAAATGACGAAGATTAGTAGGTACATTATAGTAAATTTTGAGGATTATCAATAGGTACATTGTAGCATAATTTGAGGATTGTTTAAAGGTATAATGCAGTAAAATATGCGTTCAATATAACAACCATGATATAAGATTATAGCAATGATTACAATGGTGAAGTTGTATGGCTTAGGTACAAAATATTGGGGAATTGGGTAGTACTAGATACAGTGCGAGTTTAAAGCACTAGGTAGGCAACCGAGGATGAAATTAGGTACTTTTTGGTTATATTTTTGAATAAGACAAAAGTTGAACAGCTTTTCAATTAGTTAGGGAGCGAGTTCCATAGACTAGGTCCCTTTATTGCAGTGTTTTTACACAGATTAAGTTTTACTCTGGGGATAAAGAGATTTATTTCTGGTATGGTGATTATGGTTCTATTGCATATGTCCAGGAAGAGTTTCGGAACAGGGTTTGTATTTAAGAACAGGGTTTTGTAAATGTAAATGATATGAGAATGTGTGCAGTGAGTTTATGTTTAGCATGTTAAGGGATTTAAACAAGGGGGCCGAGTGTTGTCTGAAAACAGAGTGTTATTGTTCTGATAGCAGCTTTTTGCTGGGTGGTGATGGGCTTGAGGTAGTTTGCAGTGGTTGAACCCCATGCACAGATACCATATGCAAGATGGGAATATATTAGCGCCTAGTCTAGTGAGAGGAGAGCAGAGTTTGGAACATAATAGCTGATTTTAGAGAGTATACCAACCGTTTTTGAGACTTTGTTGGTTATGTGCTGTATGTGGGTGCTAAAGTTAAGTCTCTTGTCTAAGTATAGGGCAAGAAACTTTCCATCATTTTTATTGCTGGTGTTAACATTGTTAATCTGAAGCTGAACTGCATATGTTGATTTGTTTCCAAATAAGATTTAGGTCTTCTCTATGTTTAGTGCAAGTTTGTTGGTTGACAAACCTTGGTCCCACCCACACTTCCAGTGAACTCCAAAACCACTCCAATCCCTTGTGGTTCAACCCCGGCAAGCACAACTAAGCGAGTACATAAACTAAACTAAAACGTCCCTACGTTTTACCCCAGCTCCTGGCACCGGCACTGCAGCTCACGTCCAGCAGGTGTTGTAAGCGACATTACAGATTTACATATAAAAGAGAGAACAACAGAATCCCATGTCGAATTATTGTTTTAACAAGTGGTTCAATTCATTAAAGTCTTATCTTTTTTTTTTAGTTTTAAACAATCAAGGAAGACAAAACTACGGTGAGTGGAAATAGGGAAGGCAACATTGCAACACAATTGTGTAATGTTTCTGAGAAGGAGCGTGTTGTTGACTACTGATATGGCTGAGAGTTGCTGCTGCATGACGCATACCTTCTGCGCTTGCTCTTACGCACATCATTTATATTACTTGTGGTTTATATTATATCCAGCAGTGTCATCGTAAACGTTAACGTGATGGAGTACCTTTGGTGTTGTGAGAAGAGTAACCAGATGAGGGAAGTGTACGCGAGAAGTGACAGCCTGTGCCAGCAGCAATCCCGGGCTCACACTATCGTCGTGTCCTCCCCAGAGAGCCTAGTAATTGACACTGGTCGTCTGCAGGAGAGTTGCTCAATTACATATTCTCATTTTAATAACTAATCTTAAACTCGAGACTGCCAAAAAACAAGAAAAAATTATACATACACGAGTAGTACCTAACCAATTATACAAGTCAAATCAACTTCAAAATTGCGCTTCTAGCCTAAATAGATCACTTACGTTGATTTTGTAGTGAATTAAGGAAACTAGTAATTTTATCTCGCAATCTACTTAAATATATATTCAAAGCTAAAATTGTACGAAGCTTCGTTCGTATAGAAATGAGCGAGATTTCCAACTTAATGACTGCCCTTCTTTAACGCTATCTTGACACATTATCTCTCTACTGACTATGACGTTATCGATAGAGTTCCCGATAAGATTACCAACAGAGATAGCCACAAGCAAAATATACATCATGAGTGTGAACACAAAGTCCATACACGGGCTCAGAGATGCAATGGTCTTCGTCACAGGATTGCCAGAACGTCCTCTTACGTAAGAGGACATTAAGAGAACAAATCTCTTAAGTCAAGAGATCCTCAACAAAACTACCATAACTATAACAACCACAGCCGACCACCACAACCACAACATCTTCATAACCACAAATGTTCATTAATCACAATCACGACACTTATCGACCATCACCATAACCCTTCACCACAACTAAAGACCTTCATTATCAAGATCACAGTCCATCACTAGAACAGCCAGCAATGCATTCTAATTCCATTGTACCATAGGAGTAGCGCAATTAATAAAGTGCCCATCAGGGTAAACATGTTAAGCATCAAAGAGCTTCTAGTCAGTAGCTGGAGGGTTAGTATGCGGACAGCCTTGCACTACGATCTAAGGGACTGACTGTCCATGACAATGGTACACCAGTCAAACACAGCACGGAGGCGCACCACAAGGTTCGAGTTTTGTCAATAAAGATGTTAATAATAATGAGGTCCTGCCGCCAACACGAAGAACTTATTGAGCACAAAACCCACTTCCCCCTACTATAATTACACGCATCATATTAAAGCGACGAAGAAAAAAGTGAGAAGCAGTACCGACTCTGGTTAAGGGCTTGTACATATAACGTATCTACATATGCGCTGCTCAGCGATAAAAAAAATAGTTCAGTGCCTATGTGTCTGAGTAGAAGCTAATAATGAGAAAGTTATCAGATGAAAGCAATAATTAACCTGAATTTACCCGAGGGCTATCACCACTAGTGGCCTCGACGAGAGGAGGAAGCCTGTAGCTTTCCAAAAGAATCCTCCTATTATTCCTGAAGATTTTGTTTACTTTTTTTTTTATTTTAAACTGGAGTACTCTTGGAATTTTCGGCTTTCGTGTTCGCTGTTCCAAAAGTTCATTACTCTATTGGTGAAAACTATCTCTTGTTTTCTGTCCAAGATTATGGTTTGTTGAACTTGCCGAGTTTTTTTTTTTTTTAACTTTACACTAAGTTTTAAAGAAACTGTCCAAATTAATATCTTCATATTTCAAAGATCTCCGAGATCAGCTGTGTTATGTCTGGTTTGTGGTGCTGCTAGTCCTGAAGATAGGTTCATGCTTTTCCTGGTACGAGAGTATTAGCTTTGGAATTTGTGTTGCTCTATATTTAACTTTTTTCCAAAGCAGGCATGTCCTTTTGAAGGCGATTCCATGCTTGGATTCCACCGTCGAGATGAGGGCGCATCTGAGATTTATACAACTGAATAACCACTTTCTTTTCATTGACTATTGTCTTGTCAGCAATGACCGAACAAGACCGAGTTATTTGGCGCTACTATAGATTCATTATGGGATCTAAACGTGTTATTCAAATCACGTTAGTCAAACATGTGTTGCAAACACTCAAATCACGTTAGCCAAACGTGTGTTAGCAAACACTTTGATGATATTGGTGCCTTAGTTTAATCAGTTAACAAATTCTCCTTTGTTATACTTAAAGAAACATGGTTAAAAGATAAACCAAACTACTCTGCATCCATAACTGCAAGCCAACCCAGGTGGTGGTACTGCATATTATTACCACCATGAACTGTCTTGTTCAAATGTAATTAGAACCAGACACCTGCGACGAGTACATCTTTGTCCAGTTTAAACTCAAGAATTCAAACCATGTTGTGAATTCTTTATTAAATCAGTCGATTTTCCCCCCCAAGATGTAAATGCATGGCTTTTGAGATTATCAATTCAAGGAATTTCGCACAATAGACAAGCTAATTGGCCGATAGTCCTGGAGATCCATTCCAACTCAGAGATTGGGAAAACATTTTCATCTATGATTTCAGTACAAAACATGTTCGACTGCAATGATTCATTAAATATGAAAATCGATTGCTTATTTGGCTCTACCTTATGTTCTTAATTGTTCAAGTTCACTTTTACAAACATGACCCCCTGCTACTTGTGCAGTATTTAGTCGAGCTATATACCCACCACTACACAAGTGGCATTGTTTGGCAAACACGTCTAGAAACTGCACACACAACACTACACAACCCATAA